AAAAATAAGGGGGGGGGGGGGGGGGGAGGGGCGAAAAATGTGAAAATAAATGAACGGATGATAAAGTCTTTGGAGTAATAAGTTTTTGCTGTCGGGGCAGCTCTACCGATAAAGGAACAATTTCCGGTGTAACTGGCCGGCTTGAACAGCGGGGATCGTTATTTCCGGGATAGTATTGTCCCACAGAGGATGCGATATAACGCGGTGAGTCTCCGCAGGCAGGACGGTTTGACGAGCTTAATGTTTACCGTTTCACCGTGTTAAATAGTTCAAGTATAGTTCATATGGATATCTAGAGTATTACATGGCTTTAAATATCGACAGTGTTAAACGCGATTATCAATCGGTTGATGAAAACTTGATCGACGTCATTGTGCAAAAGGATAATCGACTCGTGATATAACATACCTTCCGGTATCGTGACATCCGGTTTCTCTGTGATTTCGTGCGGAAGGTCGTGGTTAATATATTCGTTGCTCGTCGACTCCTTTTGTGCCAGACTTTTATTCAAGCTCTCTGCCTCCCGTTGAACGATCTTCAAACTTTGCATTACTATTCGTTCAGTCATATCGTCCAATTGGTCCGTAATCTTCTTCTCCTCCTTAGACTTTTCATCCTTCAAATTTTCAATATTGAAACGAACAGTTTTGGATTCCTTTTTACTGGCCGGTGAACCATCTCGACTAACGCCCGTATTGTTCTTCTTAAGTATCGGTTCCTTGCCGAACAATTTTATCATGGCTTGCTCTATTCTCATGTGCTCCTGTATAATCTCGTCCAACGGTTCCATGCAAAATCTACTAAATTCTTGATCTTCGTGCCATCTAGTCTTATCCGCCAGATTGTTACCCGTGCTTCCGTGGTGTGGCGTACACAGCATCCCGGTAAGATCCGAGCCGTTCCAGGTAAGAGTAAAGTTGCCGTCATCCGGAATGGCGACGGTGTTCATTCGCTTAAAGTCCAGGGTGTTCAGTTTGTTCTGAAAGTTTTGCCTCGCCTCGGTATTCCTGAAACAAGCTGGCGGATCGATGAAGAATTTCAATGCCTCCAACTGCTCGTAATATTCCCGCTCAAGATCATGAGCATTCCGGATCTCGTTGCTTCTCGGCGTCTCCTCCTCACGGAACTTTATCCCTTCTGTGCTTTCCGGTGGGAGAGGCTCCAAGTAGAACCTGCTGGAACCATTACTCAGTCTTTTCGACATTTTAAAGTCTAACTTGCTCGTCTTGTTCTCCGAGGAATTCTTGTCATTTTCTTTTTTTCTCTCCTTGAGCAGATCTCGTTTCTTTACTCTGTGACGTGTTTCCAGCCGAGCTTTCGGCATCGACCGCTTACGCCTCCAAGGAGCGCTCAAAGCGCGAAGAACACCCGGAAATTTTCTTCCTGTTTTCGACGCGCTTCTTTTACTTAAACTTTTATCCGATTTTGATACCGGTCGTTTTGTTATTATCAAAGGATCGGTCTTGTCGATTGGTTCTAATCTTTGTGATGGACCAGCTTCGTCTACGGCCGAGAGACATTGCGAACAAGTTAGAAGCTTCATGTTTACGTTTCACTTGTAATTCTGAAAATGTCATTCGAAAGCTCGGGAATTTTGATTTATTTAACGGAAACTCATTTCTCTTATTACACGTTACATTACGAACTGTCTTTGAATTTATTATGGAAACTGCGAGTAGACAATCAGTTTCATTTTTTATAATATATTGATTGATAATTTTTATTGAACTATTGATACTTTTTGAGTACCAAAACAAATCCTGCCACGTTTAATTAATCCGCTTGTTCACTTTGTATATGTAAATATAATGAGGCAATGAAAAATAGATGATCCCATTCGAGCGTCAAGCTCGTGTGCCAGCTCACGCTTTAATAATTAACATCAGCAATTTCTCTCATCAAAAGTCTCGTTTAATAACACTGATTTCAATCAAACACAATTCAACCGTATTCGCATTACTCAATAAAACGAAACAGGCACAGCACGTTCATTACATTCCGTATAATTTTGTTACGACGTTAACGATAAAACGAACCGTGACATATTCCATATAATACACTCAGGACTCGTTACCCTTAAAATGTCAAAATACATATTTTCATAAAATATTCAACGACAATAAAAATCCAAATAAATCTAAGTCACCAACTATTTCTATACACTGTCCTACTCGAACTGTTTGCGTTTCCCAGCACGTTTACATAATCAGAATTCAATGTATACGTTACATCCCATCGTCACATCTTCTATCCCATCTCTCATGGACCATTTCAAACAACTTTCGTACTGCAACTCTCTATAAAGAATACAGCCATATTTATCGACAAAGCTTTCTAACGCCTCTCGGATGTGCATTTAACGGTCCATATCGTAGAAATGTCTCTTCCACTTCCACCGTGTCCCATCCATCTCAAATATACGTCACGAGTCGTTCCCTTAAATTCATTCTTGAACGGTGCACCCCGCGCCCAGCATCCCGAGCTTCCTCACAATATATTCGCACGCACCGCCGCCCGAGCGATTTCTTCTGCACGAGTCTCACAGGAGGCTGCTTGTAAAGCACTGGCACGAAAAGAAGTGGAGCACTGTCTTCGAAAAGCATAAAGAAGAGAGTAGCGATACTCTGCCGGAAGACGCAGGGCGTCTAAGTGGAGGGCGCGCCTGCTTCGCGTACATCTATACGTATGTATTACACATTCACCCAGTTGATACAGTATATACGGATAGTCAGCATGGCGTGACGTCGTAGCAATTTTACTGAAGGATCGAAGGAGTCAAGGAGAAATGGAAAGAGGAGGGGCAAAGACATTGGTGGCTGATTGGTAAGGACACAAAAAAACTAAATAGCATCGATATACTTTTTACCAGCAGTATCGGTAGAGGGAGAAATACTACGAGAAAGGGAAGAAATACGGGGAAAAATAAAAGTATAAGGATGTGGATACCCACCACGGTAATTTGGTAATTTCAAGCGTGGGCGAGCTCCGCTACTCAACGCTAACGATGTGTGCCTTATTAGGACGGACGCGCCTTGCCGTTCTGTCGAATGCGAAGGATATACAGAGTCGATTTTGTATAAGCGAATTTCTTAGGATATTAAAATTCATGGACGATCGTACGTATGGATATTTTCATTAGAGGAGTCTTGGGGGGTTCGTCCTTCGATATTGTAACAGTCGAACGGATCGACTTCCGGTGTGCGCGATGACACGGTTCATTGCGCCCATTGGATTTCGGCCTACGTACGAAAATTAGACGATGTTTGTATACAGTCGATTACTAGTCAACGATGTAGGTCGATAAGTCTAATTAAATAACGTTGGACCACGTACAGTGGCCTTACGAAATTATGATTGATTATGAGCGTGAAAGAACGATTAATTCTTGGCGTATCTCCCACGCGCGTGTCCTCTTTATAACGATGCTCTTTGTAACTATGTAACTTTGATGTATTTAATTCGATGGTGAAATACACATTTTTGAGATACCGTTTCGTTTTTCCTTTGACATTACTCTATACAGTATACGGTATATATACTCTATACTCATTAACGATAAGGAATCGTGATATTTAATACTGCTATGTTATAGCATGCTATATAAAAATGCCGCTCCGGGATTAATCCGAGAGTGACACTTTTGTAATGGAAGCCTTATTTAATTAATGACTTTTAGACTCAAAATTGAATACTCTTTTGATTTTCGGAAAATGAATTGTATCGTCCCATTGAAAATATTAAATATTATCTTCGAGTTACCTTAACGCCTGCACTCAAGGAGGAATTCAAAAACAGAGTTATCCGTCCCCCTTGAAACCCTACAACTTCTGTCTGAAACGTTTTTTTTTTAATATCTGGCTTCGTTCTCGAGAAGATGGACCTGATCACTGTAAATGCCCCACCCTGTATATGTGCTGTATAGCTAGGACCTTAAATACTACGATTTTTATTTGTCTTATTTCAAATGGCTTTATCCAACTTTTACTCTTTTTCGCGATCGTTCAAATGCTTTCATGAGTTTGAGTACGAATTTACAAGTGGCGAACGAGTCTGTCAAATCGAAGCGGAGTCGATTAAGTCTATTGAAGGCGATTAGGAGGTAGTCGATGAGTGACAAATTTATGGAAAATCGATAAATAAGGGAAACACTCACCAGTTCCGTTGCTCCTCGTTTCCGTTGATATGACACGATTCGACGTTGTTGTTTTGGTCGTGATCTCTGTAAAAAACCGTAAATAAGTGATCGATTGAACATTAAAAAATTACTGGTATTCAGTAATTCAACGAAATATGTTAATCTTACTCTTCAAAGTTTCCGTCGACGTATTCTCTTGCAGGCTACTCTTGTATATACGTCTTTTTGGCGATCCAACGTTTTCCCTAAAACAAAACAAAAATACAGGCCTTGAAGTATTTACGCAACGTAAAAGATTCGAAAAATTCCTCAATCCCGCGTCATATTACAGAAGGCGTCTGTACCAGCAGTAATCTCGCACACGGCAAATTGAATTTCTGGATTAAGATAAATTGATGTAAATTGCCGGTTAGAAAAAAAAAGGGAAATTCACGTTACAGCAACCGACTAAATATGGAGCCTCGTACAGGAACATCGAGTAGCGTTGAAATTCTGATATATAATCCAAGGAAATATGTGAGGATTATAGAAATCCTCTAGCGCACCGCCTTCAACGTTATTACCCCGCAGCAACGCTCTGGCAAAGTAAAAACATTATGGCAGGAAAGACCAGAAAATTTCAATTCAATATTTTCTATAAGTCCCCTCGTTTCCCCGCTCGCCCCCTAAGAACCATCAACTATGTAGAAAAGCGTACTAAGGACGTTCAGTTCCTTATTACCAGGAACGCCCTAGGAGCAGCATGGACGTCAATAAATTGCCGGGAATAAAATAACGCACGACGTATAGGAATCACTGTATCCCCAGATTACAAGCCACAGATCCAGTACGTAAAATCTCATGGGCATGATAGCCGTCAATTTTACGAAAGAACATAAACGTATAATACGAATATATTAGTTGGCATAAAATTACATACAAAAGTATACACCACGTATCGGGAAGTATTCAGATAATTCTGAGACTCGATACAGTTACGAAGTAACATCGAACACAACGTTTACCATACGTCGGTATGTAATGCGTGAAATAGATAAGTATAACATCAAATAATTATCTCGTGCATAAATGCTCCAACGATTCGTTATGGAGTGTCGATCTGATACGTCTACCGAAGCATCGCAGGCGTTACAAAAGATGCGAAACAATTGATCCTGTCTGGCATAAAATTCAAATACAGGTTGGTTTGGCGCTCCCTCGTGACGTCAAATGACCTCGCTGTCCAATGCCCGTTGCCGTATTTCCTGTCCCAATCAGTCGGTACTCATTGTGCGACATCAGTTTTATGCGTACTTCAGCTGAGCACGTTGCCAGTCAGCCGATGCGTTACAGCGGGTTGCCAGAGAAGCCAGTGCGTTTTCGGTATTTCTTTGCACGGACGCAGGATCCCGAAAGAACGTTAACCAGTCAGCCAATCGTCTAGCGAACCAGCCACTCATGGAAGATTAACTCTATATAGGCGTGGTCGGAAACTCGTTTCAAACGAATCCAAGGTAATTCCCTAACGCGACGGGTCTCTCTGCATCGAATGCCAATTAAATCTATATAGAAAATTACGAAACGTCAATCGATAACCTATTAATATAACGTGTGATTGGATTATGGTAAGCTCTATGCCAAATATCGCTAACATGCATTTACGAACGAATCAAAAGCTTTCCAATATTCATGGCACGATAAGCTCACCGCGTTCTGTCTATCCGTCATTCCACCTCTATCTTGCATTTCAATAGAGGAGTGACGATAAAGGGGCTTCTCGCGCGGGATTGCGTGCGCTTTCATCGGATAGCCCATTGCCATTATACCTATGTACAGCGAGCCTAGGCTAGTGTCGAACTAGACAGGGAATGCTGTGCCAAGATACGTTAACGCACGTGGAGCGTGTTGGGGGAGTTGATTGTAGCGTGTCCAATTCTGATTAACCAATTTACGCCGGACAATAAAAGTAGAGAGGTGTATATACAGAGAGACCAGTGCACTCGATAGGATTGGTATCGGTAGGAGAGAGGGCATGAAAAATCCGTATAATTTAACGACGATACTTACTGATTGAGTCCGAGTTTTAGATGATCGCCAGCGTTCCGTAAAAGTGCGTGGGCTTCGCTGTTGGTGAGGTCGCGGGTGCTCCTACCGTTTATGCTGCTTATCAAATCACCCTCTCTCACACCCTGTTGAGCTGCTTTGCTTCCTGAATTTACCTATAACACACATTTTATGGCTATTAATATCGTGTTTTTCCTTCAATGGGATTTTCGATGACTTAAGCCAATTTCTTTGATACCAGGCAGCACTTTGCCTTATGAGTATTAGTCCTTCCATGTGTTCTATCTTTATTTTGATCTATTGATCAGACTTGATCTGCATTGCTTATAGTAGTATACGTGCATGTTTCACGTGGCACGTATGTAGGTATTTATGCTCTATATGCTTTCCCTGTTTAATGTAACAATGCACGGCGAACCAGATGTACGTTACTGCTACGGTGTTTGCCTACGGCCAGGGGTAAGCGTTAACCTATAGAATTTTCAATTATGACTCTCGCCGTGATTGATGCATGAAAATACAGCTACGCCGTTGTTCATCAAGAACACGGGTCGAAGCGTCGTTCTAGACATGCGAATAGCGCTGATTCGACGGCTAAATCCTCACCGTGGTGTTGCGCCTCCTGCCGCCTGGTGAACAAAATTTCAGCATGCTGCCCCGCGAGAGGAAAATAACGCTCCGACGTCGACCTGGGGCTGTCACTCCTTTTTCGTATTTTGACGACAATGACGCGTCACGAAATCGAGGGTACGAAAGAGGATGGACGAAGCGAACGAGAGGCAGAAAATAAAGGAAAGATTTAAAAAAGGAGAAGCAAGTCAGTCACTGCAGTCACTAGCTTTTCACAACGACTTCTCTTCTGCACCCTTTGGCTGCTGTACGATTCAACGTAAACACAAGTCTTGTTTTCACGAGTAACGAAGGCGACACTCTTCGTTATATCGATCCGCTCTTACGACGGCTACAGCGATCGTATAAATCTCGTACACCCATCGAATGGACCACTCTCTATAGATCGTATATCCCCACTGACCCGCTTTCCGTTCAGTCGTGATTATGATACTGAGAGTTTCTTTTGACAAAGTTCAATGATCAACGACCCGTCACTGTGATATCGCATCGATGCATCGTGAAAATTATTACGTTAATTTACGCCGCACGATAGTGTTTATTTCCACGCGTTCTTTGGACGATGAATAGAATTTTTTTAATTTCACTTGAAATACTTCTAGGGCCACTCAAGAATAGGGCAAGTGTCTTCGATCTTGCAATAGGACGGTCATCAGCCGTTTGGAAGGTTTGTGGAGTTTGAATTATTGAAATTAGTCACTCGCGTTATATAATTATTTTCATTGAAGTAATCAAGTGCAGTAAGACTCTACAGTGCTGCGGTAGGGCTTTTGGAGTGAAGATCGGTGGTAACGTTACTCGGTTGGTAAGAGAAACGCGAGAACTGATGTTCTCATTCTATGTTAGACTCGACGAGACTGCCGGGGTGCATCCCTTCGCATCCTATCGCATCGGCGCCAACCTCAAGCCAGCACAACACGCAAGTCTTCTCGAGTTGACCTTCCATGGCGTCGTGTCGTCCCATTTTTCTTAGGCGCTACGACGAGTCGAAGGGGTGGCTTTTTAAAATTCAACGGCACCGCGGAAACAAGGTCACCGGTTTAATCTATTTCCAAGGAGACTCCGAACAATCGCTTTCTACACGGAACACCAGCTGCAATTCCAATTGGGGTTAAGAAAATGGATCCGTGGCTTTTAGAATCTTCGGCTGGAAAGAAAGACGGTAGAGAGTGGGGAAAGCCTGTGAGAATTATTAGAATTTCTTTTGTCCTTTTGGCTGGAACCACCGGAGGACAAATACCGTAGGAAACATCGATCCGAGTTATTAGTCCGTCGGGAATAAAATTTGTGGAAAATTTCGCGTTGGAAATTTCGGGACGAATAAACTCCGCATTATTTGTCAATGCTATTGGCTTTTGTCGACACTCGTGAGCGCGACCGTTCTTATAAATCAAACGTCAATAGCACTCTGGTGAATAAAATGTATATACAGTCCGAATGCATCGAAACTGTACAGAAGTAGTATTACGTGATTCAACCCCTTTGAATGTTTAACGTCAGCACAAGAAATTGAGCTCTCATAAATACAGAAGCAAAATTAAAGCACACAGGGAAAATGACTACTGGTTATTTTTATAAAAAAAGAAAAATTCACACAGAAATCAATCCTTTTCTACCAATGATTTAACACCGTTATAAACTCCCTAAATAACTTGCCCCAGATTGAGATCACTTTGCTAACTAAACGTTATAACTTAATCCATTGTTTCCCTGAGTGTTTGTTACACGCGAGATGTACAGCGCGCAGGTCTCATCGAGACTGACCCTAGCGCAGTCCCCACTACCCTGTGTCCACTTCATCAACCCCAGTCTCATCAACTTCCTTCCACACTTCTTTCTACCAAGAGAAACCCTAACAACCAACCCCTCCCCTCCGCCCTCCTATCATACTCACCTCCACGGAATTCAGTCTTCAGCATTTTCCTTCCACTTCCAACTTCCTCCGTGCTTCTATAGATCTGCTTGACTTCGTCTGTCTAGCGGAAGGATTAAAAAAAAAGTATCCGAATATTTACCATCTCGCGAGATAGTCAAGCTTAGAAGTTATAGGTGCGTGCGCAGATATAACGAGGACTCGTATTTTCCAACTGGATGATTCCTTTTCGCGATCAAATATTTATACGAGCATTCGGGATGCCGATTGGCCGAAAATTTCTCGAGGGAATTTACGGTGTATTAAGAATGGATTGATGGTAAATTGTTCCGAATGTTGTAACTAGTTTCCAAGGACGTGACCTTGACATTCGGTGGAGGCGCAACGCTGGACTAAAATGGTCGACAAGGGCATCGTTTATGTTAACTGTGGATAATCTTAGCCCTGACTATCTTTCCTCTGGCATCAGCGTAACCTCTTGACATTATCAAAGCGCGAATTACACGTGAGCTCGAAAACGGTTGGTCGATATAACAGATGTCTGGATAACGCTGAACGACCTTCCACTTGGATTTGAGTAATATTTTCTCGACCTATTAAATTCCAAGATGCGACTCGATACAATTTTGTACCAAAGTCATTATTATACTTGATTATTTCTATCCCGGGCTACGTTTCGTTATAAATTACATGTAATTATAAAAGCGTATCGTCAATTCCATACATTATTTCCACTCAATTATTCTTCCTTCCTTTTCTTCCTCTAACGAATTTAACATCTGCATCAATCATATTGCCAAGGTCGGCCATTTCCAGATGCGCAAGGGTAACCAACTACTTCTAAGAGAGCAATTCACTTGCCACCGGTTTGTCGCACCCTCCTAGTACTTCTTGCTTATCTTCTTTCCTCTCTCTCTCTCTCTGTCTCTCTCCTTTTCTCTCTTTCTAGATGGAAAATCTCAATTCACCGTGATCGTCGAGAATCTCTCGAAACTTACCGCGCGCAACTGCAGACACCAAGTGATGGCGTACACAAGTGAACCGTGTGAATACCCGCCGGCTTCGAAGTCCCCTGCTTAGTTATTATTCCACTGGCAACGTTGAGGTAGCCATTGCGATCCTCTCAACGAACTCCACCTCCGTCCAACTACGGCAAGAATTTTTCCATGGTTCGCTGACACTCAGAAGTAAGATATTCCAGAAGCTTATCCGAGACTTTCAGACATCTGGTTCCTCACTTCTAATACCCATCTCGAGTAAATAAGTCCCGATCTTCCAAGGTATTAAATGACGATTTTGATATAGCGATCAGATACGGAAAATCATAGTAGTCACGTGACTTTAAAGTTGAACAAGAAAAATACAATATATATCATTTTCGTATACATATAAACCCTCGTCTTTCATATCAATACAGTATAGATATATATTACTATGGTATAGCAAGTGTTATCCAGGCATTAGTGAAGAGCGACACAATCCTCCGTGAAAATAACGTTTGACGGAAGCAGACGAGTCATGCGACTCGCGAGGCCCGTAGTCGCCAGCTCAAAAGGAAATAACGCTGAATACGCCGAGCTCCCAGCTCGCTGGTTCTCCGGCCGTCCGAAGAGCATTTTCGCGTAACGCGTGCCCGGAATTACGAGAGCCACTGCTCGTCGTTAATAATTCAACAGCCGTGATTTTTCTCACGGCTAGCTGCGACGTCGACACGAGTAAGCTGTCCAACGGGTCGAACTGAAATACGTATAACAGTACAACTGCCCCAAATTGATTGTAAGAAGTCGATATCAATATTAATATAATTTTCTTCAAGAATACTCATAAAATTATAAGCATATTTGGCACAATAGATAAACGTCAAAAATTTTACCGAAATCAATTTCTCCTACTTGCCCTGTTCCCTAGTAACCAGGGAATAATGTATCATTACTTGAAATACATGTCTCTTCGTTAATCCGATGGATCCATTAAGCGGTACAAAAATGATATTAAAAAAAAAGACACAACGTCAATCCCACGACAGTGACAAGACTACACGCATTGTTACCAACTTTTTCCTACGTGTCTAAAACTTAAAAAATTGTTTGCCCGATCGCAATGATGATGCACCCTGCACGGGGCGGTACAATCTCTCACAGATGAGACCAAGCGCAAGAAGCGGTCTACCACCATTCCCGTATATCGGCATGTACCTAAAAGGCTCTTGCCTTGGAGCGTCAACAAAGCACTCTACCTATACGTACTACGGTAGCCTATCTCCTCGTAACGAGAAGAACACCAAGTAAGAAACGCTCGAAGAAGTTGAAGCTTGTATATATATATATATATATATAGATCTCCATAGCTATGCACATGTATAGTTATTGGTACTAACTTTTAAATCCTCTTAACGCTCTCTTTAAGAGCGCCGACGACGGAATCTTGTTCGGTGCCGTTTTGGTAGTGCGGTTACAGGATAATCTTCATGCCGGCAAACGTATAACTCTATTCAACGTTTTACGAGCCGCGTGAATGTCTCAGAGACCGCACCGATTCCGTCACGCGGAATCGCGAGGTCTTCCAAGCCGATGAGAAGCAGAAGAACGAGAGAGAAGGAGAAAGAATGAGAATAGACAAGATGATATATGTTAGAGAGAGGCAGAACGAAGTCGTGGCATTTAGTTGGTTTCCTAGGTTTAACCACTGGCAGCCAAGATCGCGGATAGAACGAGGGTGTCGTGGTGGCTTGTGTAGGGAAATACAATGGTGCTACCCAAAGGCCCTACTTATCGGTCATTGATTCCGTTCTGAGCATCGGGCAAGAACGCCGTTTACGTTTGCGGAATAGTTTGTGACTTCTGTAGGAACTATGCAGCCATGTGTTACACGTCTATGGCCACCTGGGTACCGAATGCCTACGTAGTAAGGCTGCGGTCGGTAAATGGCGAAATGGTGAAATCGTAAATTAGAGCGATAGCCATTTTTGCTGGGCGACATAGTAAAACGCTTGAATATAACGGTACTTATGCTTGCATGTGTAACGTATGCTAATATCTTACCGGAAATGCCGGTGGTATGAAATTCTTTCGTATGAAAATAAAACCCACCTGATTTTTCCTTTACGATAGCAGTGATAAGAGTGGGTAATAGCTGGTAAAACAATAACGGGTGGAGCAATTTTAAAAAATCCGGTATAATCTTCGTCAATGGGACGCATTTTTGTAATTTTCGTCACGTAATTTTAGATACAGGTATCTTTCTTTTTGAATGAAAAATAAAAATGATCTCGTAGCTACGTCGGGTCAAGTATTCGCGTGCTATAGTCTACAGCTATCATTCATTTATAGTTTGCAGAAAAGTAGTCATATTTGTACTTCATTACATATCGAATTTTCTCTTTTACGTTGTTAGATAGAGCGGAACTCAATTATATTAAAGCATCATACTTATCCTATACATATGTATAGTTACTATCCGTTTCCATTCGCTTATTCATACCGAAGAAGAATTAGAAGTAAGGCTGACAGCCTGTTTGAGATTTCAATGGATCCCAGCCATCCATTTAAATTTAATTGCATCTTTTATGTGACCCCTATCCGTATTACGAGAATTAAGGGTGAACTTCATTTTTATTTTTGACTATATAACTTCGGCATACGTACGCGTAAATATCGTAGGGATCGTTTTGTGGGATATAGCTTTCAGCAATAAATGGCCAGCTGGATCCGACTACTTTTTTTTTTCGAATGTCTGTCTATGCTCGCGCTCCAGGGAAAACTGCCTGTTCTCGCGTTAACTTTAATTGATAGAGAGATTTTCACTTATTACGTGGATCAAGCCGGTGCCAAACGTGGCTAAAGACCTTTTCGCTCTCAGGAGTCTTGAACTGGGTCAAAATAATCGTTCACCACCATATCCGACCAATTTTGGCCTAACACTTTTTTTTTCGATCCCACCGGAACGCACGTGATACTCTTATATGTTCTATTTCTTATGTGCCTCTATCACTCCGTCAGTGTCCATAGGGACGTGTCTATATGTATCATATACGGAGGTGGGAAACGGAGAATTCTTATACTTCGTTATATACAGAAAATCTTTGTCCTTTGTGACGATGCTTTTCCTTCTTTTCTTTTTCTTTCTACCAAAATGGGGTCCATAATCGATATACATTCGTCACCGGGTTCTGGTAATGATGTAAGACTAACATGCTCATTATCGTCTTGATATACTCGCACACTAGTTCTAATAACCGAATTTATCAGTATCTAACGCCATCTTGGAATTCCTTTACGGATGCTTACGATTTATACACTGTTACCACTAATTATAATGAGAATGAATACAAATTTTTTTAAAATTTGCTAATTTTCAATAATGCATTTCTATTATTGCATTGATTCAATATATAAGCAATAATCAGATCGACCAACAGTGTGGCTACTGCATCATCTTACCGATCAACGTCGTATGTTATTTTGCAACGAGATATCGTTATCTCACACACGGAGTGAACGCATTGAAGAAGAAACGTTGGCAAAGAAAGAAAAAAAAAGATTGAAAAGGTACTAAAAATTAATAGCTCAAATTCCTTGATTATTTCCACTAATTTTTTTTCACACTTACCGATATAGCCCGTACTTGAAATAAACTCGAAAGTTTTAAATGGAAGCTTCGCTAATAGTAGAATTTCGTGACGCGCAAGTGTAGGTATAACGAGTGAAGATATACAGGGTAGAAATCAGACAGGATGTCCTCAGGCGGTGCTTCTGGCCTGAATGATCCCGTATACTATATTTCGTGTCTCTTACACAGCACTGTACGTAAGTCTGTCTGAGCTTTCAGGAAAATAAAGGCTGTCGTACGTGTAGAACAAGGAGGGAGTCCAAGTAGAAGAAAAGGTATTAACGGTATTGAAGAGGAACTTTGA